ACAGCAACTGCCATCTGGTTATTCTGATGATGACGAGCGCATGGACCATGGTAGATGAAGACTTGTAACTTGCGTAGTTTTGTCGAGAACACATCAGGCTATCTAACCATATCATTTCAATTAAGAAGTTACTTTAGTTTCGGTACCAAACGCCATCTTCTTTTTTCACTCGTTAGGTGGACCACCTGAAAAAAAGCATACCCAACATTTTTCTATATACTGTAGAAATAAAAGAATAAAAGTAGATTTTTGGCAGTTTTTAATATCCTCGTTAGACGGAGCTCACTTTCTCGACACATCTAGACTACTCCTGTTGTGAACGAAGCCTTTCGGAATTTCTTCGGAAGCAGAAATTGTCTAATCTTCGTTGACCGGTTATATGAAATACGGCACATTTTTTAAAAAGTTAATTTAGCGAATAATGTATTTGTGTGGAATTTCAGAGATCATATTCGTACTCAGCAGTTCTAACCAATTGCATCTGTGTAGACGCCTTCCAGCCAATCCTGCCACTAAGAGTTCTTCTCAATTTTATGCAAATTGCCAAGAATGACCTCTGGAAAAATAATTTTTTTGAAAATAGAACAGAAAAATTAGCAGTAAGTAATCAGTAGAATATTTTAAGAACTTTCATCGAAAAGAAATCCGTTTATTTTGAGAATGTTTTTACCTCTTATCTGTTCTCCTTTTTTAATTAAAATTTAGATGAGTTTTATGAAAATCACTTTTGAAAATACAACTAGGAGAGTTGTAAGGACAATCGTATATATTTTTGAGTTTTTGAATTGATCATTAAAAGTTCCATAGTTTCAAAGTTTGGCGGAACTGATACAAACTACGAAAAGATCCGTTGTACCATTTGATATGTTTAACAAGCAGCCCTAAAGTTATAGATAAGATTACAGATTTTTTAGCAGATCAGTAACAGACGTCCCATCCGCTAATCACTCTTTATAGGAATAAGAAGAAGCCTCCTTCTGTTTCAAAAATGATTATTAAGCAAAATAAAACTTGAAGAAACAAAAGGATTCAATTGGATAATTCATTTAATTAATTATTATGTTATGGTCTGTAAGCAAACTTCTAAGTTTTCTCTGAAGGTCTCTCTTGAACAATAATACTAAGATACTTTTAAGGAATGACACAGATTTTTACTAGAAAAAATCTCTCCTGCTGAAAAATTGCATGCAATTAGATGACAAAAGCAGCGGTAGTTGTGGGTCTGACATACACATTGACTGATTAATACCACAGAGTACACAATCACAGGTGTGAAAGGAAAAGGGTACCTGAATGAAGGTTAGAATATGATTAAATGCCATTAAAGTCTGCCGTTTGTTTTGTTTAGACTTAAAATACTATAACCAAAATTAGTTAAAAACAAATGTATTGAGGAAGAAGACTACGAAAAATAATTGTCCAAATAATAAGAAAGAAGAGGAAATAAATACCCACACGTTTTTAATGGTGACAACTAGTGCTAACACTATCTGTTTCATTAACCATTGATATAATGACAATTGTCAACTATTATTTACAACAAATAAAAGGAAATAATCACATCATCAAGACGTCGAAACAGCGAATGAAAATCGTCTTAAAGAGCCGTTTATCCGTTCAGCAACGTTGAAGTTATTTGAAAAGAGACATTTAAATGGGACCACCACAAAGAGTTACATGTCAAAATGTTTTCAAAATAGACGTGATTAATGTTAAGTGAACTAATGCGAATCGACTTCAGCGTTCACCTAGAAGTAGTAATTTTTTTTACAGCATAAGATAGAGATTTTCGGGTATTTTGTCCTTATGGTGCTGGATTTTTATATTAATCTTTTCTAGGTTTTTTCCTGCTTATTTGCTCTTTATCTATCGAGTTCATTAAAGTATTTTGACGTCGGACAAGAAATTGCGCGCATGCACAAGCATTTTTTTTCTCTTTACCTTTTGACAATACTTGATTCTTGTAATATGGAAACAAACAAAAAATAGGAAAAAACCTAGAAAAGTTTCCCATCACTTTTTCCCGGATACAGGTGTATAAATGAAATGCTGAGAAACAAGAACTGTAGCGTTATTTGTGGTTCACGTCTTCGCTGTTAATAATTATGACAACTATTGATTCAGAATTTGTTCGACCATCGTTGATGGCTTTCCCATTGACCGACCTGACACATGTAACTAAATGGGCTCGTGCATGTGACGATCATTTGAACGATGTCTGGAATAATCCAAGCACGAGAACATCTTCTCATCTATGTGATGCAATTGATCACTTATTATCGTTTACCACACCTCAGTTTGGTGAATTAGAAACAATACACGTCGCTAATCAATGGTTAGCTGCTCATCTGAAAGATTTACTTCAAATGATCATGACGGAAGACCAACAAAATGAACGCCAGCGGCATCCACTTGGTTTGGTACGTATTGTCTTGCTGGCATCAAAACGGTTTACATGTCGAATTCATTCACGGAAAACGAGTGGAGAATTTAAAGAGGATATTCATAATCACAAATGTCATTTTTCGACAGTGATGATCAAAGGCGGCTACACTCATGAGATATATCAAGTAGAATTTGACGACGAATACCTTCGTCAATTTAATTCAGTTGGCGCCAACGATATGAGCAACAACAGCTCACAAACGTATCCATGCTATCGATTCAAGAAAGTCGAACAAGCGTATGAACAAGAAAATGCGGGCACAGCACGAGCCGCAAAGATCCAAAGTTCCAATCTGAAAAATAATAATAATTATAATTGTGCGTACGCTTTACCATCTCATTTGTACCATTGTCTCACAAGTTTATCGCCGAGTTTGATCACATTAACAGTCCGCGGAACTCCAACAAATCAAGACAATTGCATGTTCCTACGTGATACACCTATTAGCACTGTCAGAGAACCCGGAACTAATGCCATGAAGATGGAGCAGTTGGATCAACTTGAAACTGACTTGATTTTTAAAGAAATTCCCTCGATTTTGTCCTGACGGCTGACAATGACTTACTACTATTTATAGAAAGAAATCTTAAATATTTTCACCACTATGCGTGTCGACATAGACTGTACTCATTTGTTTTTTGGATAGTTTTCTGCTGAGGAGCTCTCGCTTATCTTTTCCAGTGATTCTCTTTCTTAACAATGATGATTATAATGTGCCATATACTTATATGATTGAACACAAAAGGTATACGCACCAGCATCTTTTCTGAAAATTATGACTTATCTCAATAGGAAAAATTCTTCAGAAATTACGGGACAGAACAGAAAAGCCCATAAATATTTTTCACGAAACAGATGGGCTTGTGACAAACTTTTTTGTTCAAGGGCTTGGGGAAACAGAAAAGTTCTTTTCGCAGAAGTCTAATTCAAATACCCGTTGTAGTCTCTGAACAACATTCATGCAAACTGAATGATTTTTAATAATGTAATAAGA